ATGTGGCCAGTAAAAATTTAAGGCAAACTGTTGCGATTTAGTTAAAAATATAATGAGATTCCCGATACGAGTGAATTTGGATTTTCAAAATAGTGATGAAGCATCAAAGTATTCACCAAGTCAGATAACCATTTTCTTTTGTCAATAAAAAGAGCTAACCTTATATTCTGCATCCTGAAGTAGTAGAAGTTCCCCCACTGCTGAGAAGGCCCTTGTTGATGCTTTGCTATGTGCTGTTTATGAGCCCATTCCTGGTGATGTAGCAAGGCATAATCATCATTCGGGGAGTTATATTCATTACCATCTAATTTAAGACTATATAGATACGGACACAATTTTAACATTAGAAACTCAATATCGACTGTGCATTTCGGCAGTACTGGATCTTGTATCAATATCCAAATGCAATATGATTGGACTGGGGCAATACATGTTTGGCTTAAGCTTATGAACAATAAAGTTACATTTACTTCTAAACATGTTTGAATATGTTACTGTTTTCTTAACTCTAAGTGAAGAAACACTTATTTTGAAAGTAAGTTTAACTTATTTTAGAGTTTCCAATTTTGACCAACAAAAAAAATATATTTATTTTATAATTTTTTTGTTGATAAGTAAACTTTTAAGCCTAGCCAAACACATGCTCAAATCTATTGGTTCATTCTTAAATCTCACATAAGAAGCTGAGATAGGCAATCACCTGCTGATCATCCGGAAGGGGGTAGACATCGCCAAAGATTGTTACCCTTGCATTTGATAAGCTATTCCATCCCGGAATCTATGAATTATGCAAGTCAATGTAATCCATAGATGGAAAAACACAAAACAAAATATTGTAAAGCAAAATTTAAATTGCTAACCTGTACTACTACAGTGCACCTTGGGTCAGCTAACAAATTTCGAGTGTGTATGGCCAGTGGTGATAATGAAAATATTGGATCTGCAGGACCAAATATTGAAGTTATACGCCATGATAACCAAAAGAAAAAATTTTACTTTCTGAGAGTTAATCCATCCATTATAATAAAACTAAAGGGGGAGGAAACTAAAGAAAATAAGAATATCATGTAATACAAAATATAGCAAATAATGCATTACTTACGTCCCATTGGATCTGGAACAAAATCTACAAGTGAACCAAATGGATAACCATTCCTCCGGTGGTGCATTTGTGACATCATGGTGCACAAGTGAGCAAACCTAGCCTTGATTGATTGCAATGCAGAATGAATAACATAATTACTGAGAAAAAACATATAAGAAGCTCCTTGTTGAATAAATTGAAGCTGCTGGGAGTATTAGCTGATGAAGATGAACAAAAATTTATAAACAAATAAAAAATTTTGTCTTCTCCATTAAATTTCGAACCGCTAAGGCTGCCCTGGGCAAGCCATGAGCAGAAGTTGCATTTTGTACTCCCCCAGATATTCGCGTCCTGAAAAGACCGGCCCTTGTACCTCCCCCAGTCGGGCTTCCATGTGAGGGCATGGGAGTCAGTGTCTTAGTATTTCACATGCGTTCTATTCTCTTTTCGACACTTTGTTTGGAATCTGTATTACCCTTCAGAATATGAGAGAGGCCATCACAACAAAGCCGAAGTAGCCATTTGAAATATCCATTGATGGACTATGTCAAGAAAAAAAGTATCACGAACATTGCATACGCATATAATAGCCACCAGTATAAAAAAAAGGCTTTCTCAATCTCTCATCTACATTGAGATCAGACAAATAAACGGTTCATGCACATTTCTGATCAACAGAATGAGAAAACATGATCCAATTCAAAGGCCTCAATCCCATGCAGAAATATTATAATCATAAATTTTCTGACGAGTTTTAGAAGATTAAAAAGTCATGAGGTATTGTCTTAAAAAACTTAAGCAGGTATGGTTAGATTATGTTCCGTATTTAAAAACTAATCTAAACATGAGTCGTGAGGCACGTGCAGGGCAAAATAAATCGATGGCTGCCATATTCTGTGGTTCATTCCAAGCTGTGAACTTGCACAAAGGAATTCAAACATATGAAGCCAATCAGAGAACAAATGAACACACACACACACACCCCATTGCGCCCCACAATTAGACACTTCACTCTATTTAGTACAAATTACCTATAACAATTTGCTTAATATTGTTGTTTCAGAGCATGTCTAGCGAAGCTTAAAAATGTTATTTTATTGAACTTTTTGTTTCTACACGTTTGGCTATATTACCTTTCAACTTTCACTCTTAAGAATTAAGCATTAAAAATTTACTTTTTACTTATTTACAAATAGGTCAGTAAACTTTTGAAGCTTCGCTAAAAAAATGTTCGGATAAAATACATAGCAGAAAAAGTTACAATTTTTGACAATTTATTTGTTCGCAAATTACACAGTTCCAATACAACCCACAAATCCTGGCATCCAAAATAAGTAAAATTGCATCTATCCAATCCAAGAAGCACAAACAATTATTGATTGTTTATTTATTTTACCTGAGATAAAAATACAGTATCTTCAGAAACTAAATTAAATCCACCATTACAATTATTCAATATACATTCTTCTTCTTCACCGCCCTCGTCCGACATTTCACGCGCATGCGCCAGAAATCGAGATGCACTAACTAAAGACGTCGTTTTCTGTAAAACCATACCAATTCGTACAGACCCACAATGCTTATTGCCTGCTTTGATAGAATGAATTGGTGCTAAAGAGTTCTCTGCAAATTTGGGCCTACAGGTGGAGCTCGAAGGAGCTTCTGTGGCGGAATACGCACAAAAAGAAGCCATTTACGAAATGTATGTGTGTAAATAAACTGTTTGAACTTACACGCAAGTAGTTTCTGAGTTTTTTGAGGAAATTGGCAATGGGTTTTGCAAGAGCGGCCCTAAAATTTTGGGTGCACTGCGAGAATTTAAAATGGTGCCTTTTGAAGTAACTAAAACGTATATTAAAAAATTATATACATAACATACATAGATAAGAAGAACATAAATAAAGTTCAAAAGCATCTAATGAACTTCATCAAAACTTATACGTCATCAACAAAGAACCATTTAAGCTACTAATCTCTTCGTGTAATTCCATATAAGCAAACCTTGAAAAAAATATAAAAATCAAGTCAAGTGTAAAGCTTGAAATGCTACAAATCATGTAAAAATATTTCTTCTCGTATTTTTAAAAGCAAACTCACAAATTTAACTTTCGTAATCAATATTTCATAGAAAGTCTGCTCAATAATATCAAAACTAATCCATTTAATCGTACTTGTAACATGGTTGATCGCAAACAAGATTTTAATAACTTCAATTTTGAAATTTTTTTTTTCAGCAAGTGCAACAATAACAGGAATTAAATCAATCTTGATTCTTCAAAAATCTGTGTATCACCAATCAAACGAAAAGAGAGCCAAAGGGTAGTAAAAATTCAATGAATCAATTTTATCAGCAGATTTCACTTCACAGTTAATTGATTTCACTTATTAAATTGATAATTATAAATTATAAATAGTGAACCCATTTTCACAGTTAATTGATTTCACTTAACAGTAAATCTTTTCACAGTTAATTGATTTCACTTATTAAATTAGTAATTATAAATTATGAATAGTGAATCCATCTTCAGAACATTGAAAAAATATTAAAAAAGAATTTATATTTTCTTGAATATTCAGAAAAATTATTGAAGAAAAAATATGTTAAGGAAACAAAAACTCACTTGTAAGTGTTCAACTTCGTCGAAGGAAAATTATGTCGTGCTTCCTCATCCTCAGTCCTCACGCTCAGGCAAAGTAAATTCAAATTTTAAAAAGTTCTTACAAAGAGAATTCAAATCAGTGAAATCATGGAACGAGATTGACGAAAAGATAATAAAGAAAATATAACAAGTAATTCAGATTTTCAGCAAGGTTGAATGAAAAATATGAATTGTCAATCATCGCTTAAGGAAAAGAGAGAAATTTGTTGAGCCAAATTAAAGATTATTGGAGAAAAAGACGATTTCTCCAAAAAGATAGTTAGTTTCTCTCTTCTTTGTCTCAATTATCTTTGAGGAGTCAAGAACTATTCATAGCTATTATTTTGACACCAAAGAAGAGTTCGACTCAATGCTTTATTCTGTCCTAGTTGATCTGGGCAGTAAAGGTCGGAGAAGGGCAATCACTCATTTTTAAAACAAGCGTTCTTAAAACCAAAGAGTCGGGGAGGATCTGTTTGGAAAGTAAGAAGCCCCTTTGACATCTTTTCATCTGCAAATAAATTGTAATTTCATTTGAAAAAATGGAAACCTTTCTCATTGGATGATCATGATACTTCCCGAAAATTGAAATAGGCAATTGGAAAAGATGGTTGATTTTTAAAATTTTTTTTCTCAAAAAAGACAATTCGAAAAGGCGGTTGTTCAATTTTTCTTTCTTCTCTCAGTTCTCTGGACAGCCTGATCTCTTTTCGACTTTTCCCTTTTCCTTCACATTATTTAAGGTAAGAATACTACTTAAGAATATTATATTTCTTGGAAATTATAATTAGTTAGTCACAATATTCTTAATTTTAATATCTTATGCATAATAATAAAAATTTTATATTTTAAATATATAATTACAAATAAATATACAACTATAAAATTTTTTTTTTTAATGGTGCCCCTACAATTTTGAGGCCCTGTGCGGTCACTCAACTCACACACTCTCAAGGTTGCCTCTGGATTTTGTAAAGGAAGGGTTTTATTACTCTGGAAATAAACTGTATCAACTTGCACGCAAGGGTTTTTTTGCGCTCGTTTGACCCATTATTCGAAGTTATAACTGCACAAATAGTAATTTTTGTGTGATTAGTAATATGGAAAAGTTTTTGTATTTTTGTGCAATATTATTTAATTGGAGAATATATGGTTGATGTAAAGAAAAAATATATATATTATAATTTAATGAAAAATAACGAGGCCAAATTGGAGCAAAGGTTTTTTCCAGAAACAAGATGGGGAGACAGATATTGCAAGGGGAAATTATATGTCAGCATGTATTTAAAAATTACAATTCAAAAATTAGGTATAAAGTCTATTTGTTCAAATATCAGGTATTAATTTAATTATTTATATTAATAATAATATTATAAAATATACCCATCCCCAACCGCCTTACCCCCAAACCCTAATATTTTCTCTCTCTTCATTCTCTCTTCTTTTTTCTTTTCAAATATTGAATCGTTATCGAATACGACGTCGCGTTAACGGCGATTCTAGCATGACATCACAAATCTGCTTGCGATGGTTTTCATGTCGTCGTTGTATGGTGATGACGTACTACAATGGTGAGATGCTGGCAAGGTGGTGAATCTACTTAGGGTGTGGTAGTGGTGTTGATGTTTGTGAGGGTGGTAGTGATGGTTTAGGGTGATTTTGGTGTTGTTTTTTTTTTTTGGGGGGGGGGGGTAAAAAATTTTTTTTTTTTTTTTTTTTTTTTTTTTTTTTTTTTTTTTTTTTTTTTTTTTTTTTTTGTGTATACTGGGTGTTTGGTGGGGGTGGGGGGGTGGTTTGGGGGTTTTTTGGTGTTTTTTTTTTTTTTTGGGGGGGGGGGGTTTAAAATTGTTTTGTTGATTGTGCAAGTAGAGGTGTTGGAGGTTATGGCCGCCGTGAAAGAGGTTCCTCTGCCATAAACTCATTCTCGTCTCCACCACTCTCATTGTCGCACCACCGATGATGATGGACGCCGCTGCTATGTGCGTGGAAGGTGGTAGGGATTGGTTTGATTAGCCGATTTGGATGTTTTGATTGGCTGATCGGGATAGATGGAGAGACACGGCGAAAATGGTAATGTGTAATTGGTCAACTCGACTATTGATTTTAGGTATGAGGGCTGTTGAGTGATGCTGCATATTATTGTTCACAGGAAGATGGGGTGGCAGTGGTGTTGGATTTAGTGGTGATAGCTTTGTTGGTGGTGGGGTTGTGGTGGTGGCGACCGTGGCGTTGTGAGGATAGTCGCAAGTGGCTGTAGTGGCGATGGCGACAGTGTTGATGGCGATGGTATGTGACCCACTCTTTGGTTTATTTGTGATCAACTATTTAATTGTGATCTTTAAATTCGATAATTTGTGACTAAAAAATAATATGTGACAAACAAATTTGAAAATATGTGACCGGTAGATAAACCGTGACCTATATTTTTTATCCATGACCAATAAAATAAATTTTGACGTATAAATATTTTGATTTGTGATTTCGAAATAATCTGTGATCAATTTGATAATATGTGACCAATAAATAAGTTGTGAATAATTGTTGCCTTATTATATTTAATTAATAAGATATATTTAATTTTTAAATAAATACTTGATTTTTGTATTTTTAAACTTAAGACCTGGAATTTGATTTGGTGATAATAACTGATTTATGATTTTTTTCCCCCTATATTGCAATGGATGGAGTTGGTCTAAATATCATGAAATTAAATGGGCTCAAAACTTTCCGGACCGAATTCTGTAGGCCTTCCGGCCCCGAACTGCCTTTTCTTTTCTATTTCATCCCAACTAGTCTATAGGTGATTAGAATCCAAGTCAATGACCTAATCAGACTTTGGTCTTATCATAGGAGTTCTATTTACGATCCTTGTCAATTGGAAACATGATTTAGGACTGGTTTTAAAGACTTTTTCAAGAATCAAAAGATTAATAAGTTTCTTTTTAATCGATTTAGATAATTTTTTTGTAAGTAATTTGTCTAACTAAAAATGTCTTTAAAAAAAATTTAGCTTTAGTTAGCTTTCCCAAAATATTATTCCATACGAAGCAAAAGCTCCTTAAAAAATTAAACTGTTCAATTCAAGAATAGAAAAAACTGTAAATTGACTCGATGACGGTGATTTGACTTTTGACATATATTACATAACACTTTAAAAGAAAATAATGGACAGCCAACTCTGTATTTAAAAGAAAATTATGTCATGGTTCTTGTTGGGTTTTGATATCTAATAAATTCGAGCAATAATTTAAAATAGTTGACGAAAAATTTATTGACACAATAGGCTGGACTCGAATAAAAAATGACCTATAATTTTGGATGAATCAAGTTTGGGTTGGATGGTTTATTGTTAGGTGGATCATTTTAGTGGTAAGTTTGGACTTGGATATCAGCTCATTAGTTTAGGTTAAGTGGCAACCCATTTGCACAAATCTTGGCCTAATTGAGCAACCTAAGTGGTATGGCTTTATATTCATTTCTCTTCTCCAGTAGCCGATTTTGAGGGGTGTGTGTGCAAGAGAGAAAGAAACTAGAGAGAGGAGCGGACGGCTTAGGGGAAGGGGAGAGATTTCCACCATCTTTGCATCTTCTTCTTCCTACTCTTGCTAGTACTATCATCATCCATTCCTCTTTGTGGGGTTTGAGTTAAACTTGGAGCAACCAAATTGGAGGAAAGTTTTGGGTCAAGCTTTGGCGTATTTGGTATTTGTTTGGTTATTTTTTGAGTTCGGAATCAAGAATTCTCGAGCAATTTTTGCGACAAATGGTATTAGAACTATTTGTGTTGAGAAATCTATGATTTTTGGGGTGAAAAGGGGGCTGGAAGTGGTCCAGTTCCGAATTAGTGGATGCTGCCAAAGGGAGTGGCGATGCTATACGCAAAAAGGAAGAGACTCATAAAATGGCAATGAGCAGAAAACTAGATGGGAAATTGGAATCATATTTATAAACTGCCGGACCTATTTTTACATTTTTCAGCTAAATCACAGACCGGTTGGAAAAAAGGACCCCAACTGGTAGATTGTGCAGGTGGAGGCGCAGCTGTAGGTGGTGCTCGTGGCCGTCGACGCATCAAGCTTTGACGATGACATGTGGAGGCGCATGGAGGAGATTCTGCCAGTGATTCTTTCAGGCAATTTTCTCTAGGCCATGAGGAGGACC